CCCCCCCCCCCCGTGTATCAGTGAGGCCTCGGTGCTCCTGGAGTTGGGGGTGCCTTCAGCACTCACAGGACCTCCGCCCTGGTCCAACTGCCTCACTGTTGACCATGACATGCTGGCCTGAGACCCTTCTGTGTGCACTTTACTCATCTGCCCAGGCAGCTCCAAAGAGATGATTTTCTCACCTGCCCAAAGATGGAGGGATTGAGTTGGGGAAGGTGGCAGTTCTGGAGGGGGAGGTGGTGACGGCTGCACCGCGCTGTGAGCCAACGTGCTTAGTGCTCTGAGCTGTGCAGTTAGAGGTGGTTCAGGTGGTCCATTTTCTGCTCTGTATACTTTACCATGATAAAAAACATTTTTAAGAAAGATGGAGTGAAAGGATCCTCACAAAGGAACAACAGAATTTGTTTCGTCGAGCCCTGTGCACTAACCTAACAAGTACTGACCCATTTTCCCCTTGAATTTCAGGTCACAAGAGGAACAGATTCAAAATGCTATTGACAAACTTTATGTGCTGTTTGGAGCAGAAATACTAAAGAAGATTCCAGGCCGTGTGTCCACAGAAGTAGATGCGAGGTAAGGGTGGGGTGGGGGCGGGGCTGCTGGGCCCGCAGTCCTGGGTGAGTGCTCCCTGCTCCCTGCGTTGCAGTCTGCTCCGGCTGGGCTCAGTGAGCCCCAGGAAGGAAGGCGATCTGGAGGTGGGGCTCTATGTTGCTCCAAGCCAGGGCACCCACTGCTGGCTTGTCCCCTCACTGCAGCCCCCTGGCTCTTACAGGCTCTCCTTTGACAAGGACGCCATGGTGGCCCGAGCCAAGCACCTCATCGAGCTCTACAAGGCTGTCGGGGTCAGCAAGGACCGGATTCTGATAAAGCTGTCGTCCACCTGGGAAGGAATTCAGGCTGGAAAGTAAGTGTCTCCCTATTTCAGGGCGTGGGGCCCGTGGTCCAGGTGAACCAGCTGACAGCTACGTGTCCAGGGCCGGATCCCAAGGTCCTGCTCCGTGACCCTCAGAAACAAGTGACCCATGAGACCCACAGGCATGTCACCCGCCTGTCCTTATCAGGCATGCTCACACCCATGGGTTGTAAAGACAGATCATTTTATGCCAACATGCGCCCCGTGTGGGAGAGCTGTGAGGACTGGAATCGGCCCTCTGTGGTCTCACCAGCAGCCCAGAGGGAACAGCTGTGTCTAGGAACCTTGTGTCTGCTCCACTCCCACCCGGTGACCACCCTCCACTCTGTTTCTGCATGTCACTTTCTGGAAGACACAATCCAGGCGGAGCCCTACATGTGGCCTCCTCCCTTGGCATGTTGTCAGGGCTGCCTTCCTTTCAAGGCAAATGTTCCATTGTCCACACACTGCATTTTCTGTGTCTGTGTCCCTTCACCCTGGGTGGACACGTGACTGTCCCCACCTCTGGGGCTCTTGGGTGACGCAGTTGTGATGCTCAGGTACAAGTTTTGGTGTGGACGTTGTGTCATTTCTCATGGGCACATATCTGGGTCATCTGTTACCCACTCTGATGTGCCTTCTGCCAGTGCCCAGTGTGAGTGTGGGCTCTTGACCACCCCCACATGGCCACACAATGGAGGCCCTTCTGAAACTGTCCCCTGTGGTGGTAATTTGTGGCAGGAGGGACCTGAGCAGAGGTTCAGCTGTCACAGCCCATGCCCCGGCCACGTGACAGGATGGCCATTGCCCTGTCAGGATTCAGCCCCAGTATGTCATGGTGGAGATGGGGCTGTTGCAGGGTGGCCTGGGAAGGGTGAGAGTGGGCAGGAGGCTGTGGCTCTAGGTGAGACAGTAGGACAGCGCTGTGGTCAGAGAGATGGCTCCATGGTGTCCAACCCCAGGCAGTCCTGTGCTGAGGTGAGGGACTGGGGTCCCCAGTGCTGGTGTTGGCTGGAGACAAGCACTGTGTCTTGTCTCTGGGGACCGCTCTTGCCTCTGTTTGGAAATGTGGGTTTGATAAAAAAAATCTCCACAGGGAGCTAGAGGAGCGACACGGCATCCACTGCAACATGACGCTGCTCTTCTCCTTCGCCCAGGCCGTGGCCTGCGCCGAGGCGGGCGTGACACTCATCTCCCCCTTTGTGGGGCGCATCCTCGACTGGCATGTGGCCAACACAGACAAGAAATCCTATGAGCCTCAGGAGGACCCTGGTGAGTAGCCCTTTGAGACACGGGGCAGGTCTGGGTGGGCAGAACAGTGGGTGGTGGGTGCCCAGTAACTGCCTGGGTCATGGCCTCCAGGAGTGAAGAGTGTCACCAAGATCTACAACTACTATAAGAAGTTTGGCTACAAGACCATTGTCATGGGCGCCTCCTTCCGCAACACGGGCGAGATTAAGGCACTGGCCGGCTGTGACTTCCTCACCATCTCACCCAAGCTCCTGGGGGAGCTGCTCAAGGACAACAGCAAGCTGGTGCCTACACTCTCAGCCAAGGCTGGTAAGGCCCCAGCGCCTGCACCTAGGTCACCAGAGGTGTGGGTGATTGGGAGGGGGGCAGCTGCAGGGCTGAGCCAGGCTGCAGGGGCCCACCTGCACCAGGAGCCATGCGGATACAAGGGCTGGGAGGGCACAAGGCAGCTCAATCTGGGCCTTGGGTGGGATCACGGGTGCGGGCAAATATGGAGGGCCCTGCTGCCTGTACCCCCAGCCCAGGCCAGTGACCTGGAGAAGATCCACCTGGACGAGAAGGCCTTCCGCTGGCTGCACAATGAGGACCAGATGGCCGTGGAGAAGCTTTCGGATGGGATCCGGAAGTTTGCTGCCGATGCCGTGAAGCTGGAGCGGATGCTGGCGGTGAGTGCCCTGGGGCAAGGTTGGAAGAGTGGGCACTTTCTGTGGGACCCTGGGTGTGCCGCCCCGAGAGATCCTAGGGCCCACTGAGGGCCTTGTCAGTGGCATGGACCTGCAGAGGGTAACCTGACACACCTTTCCTGGCCCCTCTGTCCATTTCTAGGACCGAATGTTCAGCACAGAGAATGGAAAATAGCCCAAGGCCGGGCCACAGATGAGTGTTGGCTTTGAATTTGGGTCTGATTACACATCTGGTGACTAATCATTTTTTACCGCTGGGAGCAGGGACAGATCATAGATTTCCGATTTTATGTAACTTTGCCTAATGCATTAAAGCAGTCATGTTTTCTCTGCTGTGCTTCATTTCTAGACTCCACCCCCTAGGCATCAGCTGCCCCCTCCATCCGCAGCAGCCTGGGCCCAGCCTAGACAGGGCTGGGTCGACCCCCAGAAGGGCCCCAGGCGGGCAACACAGGCATCTACAGCCCCACATACCCTGGCATGAGCAACACTGCCTGCCCACTGCTGGGTGGGGACCCACTTGCACTCTTCCTGTGCCCAGATCCTGTGATGGCCCCCAGACCCCTGGGCTGTGCCAGGGGTTTGGGGGTGGGGTCCTGGGCTGTGCACATGCTGCCCTGTGTGGCTACTGGGGCTGAGGCACTGGCCAGGAAGACCAGGCTCCTGTGCAGGCCAGTATCGCCACCTGGTGGGCACAGCACAGTAGCACTGGCCCATTAAACCCAGATGTCCACACCCCTGAAACCTGGAGTGGGCATGGCACAACTTTGTGAAGACACTTATGGCACCGTTTAGACTTTGCAGCACCACAGGCTGTACTGGGAGGAGCTTGGGGTGGTGACAGGTGGACTGATGAGGTGACCCCTCCCTCCTGAATGGCCAGCCTCTGTTCCTAGAACGCAGCAGGGCAGGATGAGAGTGCAGTGCCCAGGGAGCAGGATGAGGGGCCACATGTGTCCCACCTGCCCGTTCCAAGCCTGTGTGGGCAGAAACGTGTGTCCAGACTCACCTGTTGAGACACTGTGCTGGCTACACCTGAGGGTCAGCAGGGAACCTTGTCCTCCCCACCTGGGAGGCTTTCTCTGATAATTCATCTGGCCACCTTTTCTCCAGAGCTTCCCACAGGGACACCAGGCCCCAGCCACTGGAGGTAGGCAGGGCTGCATCCCCATTTACTCCAGTCAAAGCAGCAGGGTCCTGGTACTTCTGGAGTGGCCACCACCCTTTTCAAGGGCCCCAGGGACAGGCCCCACTGTGGGCTGTGCCACCTTGAGTGCCCTGGCTGGGCCTGGCCCAGCCCATCCAGGATGTTAAGAGGGCTACTGTGAAGCAAAGGGGTCCAGCTGGGTGTCCAAGAGTGGTGGGTGGGTGCTATGACCCCACCTCTGCTGGGTGCCTCCCAGCCCTAGGGACTACATATACGCCTGACAAGACAGTGTTAGTGCTCGGGGTGTGTGGCAACCAGCATCCAGCTTTAGAAGTCCCCCCCAAGGAAACACGTCCACGGCCCCGCTCCCACCACAAACAAGCCATTGGACTTTCTAGATATGCCACATAACTGGCCACACACACGGCCCTTTGGTTTTTCTCACTCAGCATGTTCTCAAGGTCTGCCTATGTGGCAGGGTGTGGCAGGACTTTGTGCTTTTATGGCCAAATGTCCACCATGTGGCAGTAATGCTGCCGGTTGACAGGATTCATTCATGGGACTGCAGTCGTGTCCACCCACTCCCGTGAACAGTGCTGCTGTGAACGTCCCTGCACTGTTGCCTGGGGTGGACGTTGGGGTCTATTTTAAACACCCCTGGGCATGTGGGGAAATCCCAAAAGACACGGACAGGGGAAACCAGGCTCCAAACCCACCCTTGCCTACTCCTTGGGCTTTCTCTCTCCTCCAAGCCTCCTGAGTGACCCCCAGCCCCTCACCCAGGATCGGGGACTAAACTGCAGGGAGCAGAGCCTTGACCCAGAGGCTGCCCAGGAAACAGGCTCCTAATCTGAGCATGGAGTAGCTGTGGCCAATGAGAAGCCTTTGGGAAGCCCAGGCATAAGGCTCAGTGATTGAGTGTGGACCTATAAACCAGGAGGTCACTGGTTCGATTCCGAGTCAGGGCACAGGCCTGGGTTGCAGGCTTGATCCCCAGTAGGGGACGTGCAGGAGGCAGCTGATGAATGATTCTCTCTCATCAATGATGTTTCTATCTCCCTCGCTCTCTCTGAAATCAATAAAAACGTATTTACAAAAAAAAGCCTTCAGCAGGTGTTCTCAACTCTTTATGGGTAATACAGACACTACCCCTAAGGTGGATCTTGAGCTTCTGTGCAGCCAGCCATCACCATGTGGTGAAACCAGCAGACGGCTGATGGCCAGGCCAACATGCTTACCCGCAGGCAGGGGTTGAAACTGGGGCAAGTCTGGGGGCCCTGGAGCTGTGACCACAATAAGACGCATTCTCCTTCACCTCTGACCCAAGTCAAAACTGCTGACAAGCTCCAGCCAGCTGGCACTCTCCACAAAGCCAACCAACACTGGAAGGGCTGGGGGACAGCAGACCAGCCTGGGCACAGCCCTCACCCCGGCCTGTCACTGCCCAGCCAGCACAATCATCCTGGCTCCCAGGGATGTTTGGCCTCTGCTCCCTGAGGTGGGTGTACAGGACAGGCAGAGGGAGACCCCCAGTGCTGGTGCAGGAAAACCAGAGGGGCCACGACTCCACCCTGGCACACCCACAGCTGATTCACTGGGTACCAGCTCTCCATGGACTGCTCAATGTGGAATCTGAGCCCCACCTGGTGGCCAGTTCAGCACCCTCAGCCTCCAACCCCGGCAAGACCTGACATCCCTCAGGGCTGACTCCTGGAGGCTTCCACACTCCCAACAGGCACGGTCAGGGTACGAAGTCACTCTCAGGAGCTGTCACAGAGGCAGGGTCCTTGGAGGCCTGAGTCCAGCTGCCTCTGGGGACACCTGGGCCGTCTGGAGGCGGGGCTTCCACTGGCAGGCTGGCTCAGTGGGGGAGCGAGTCACTTCCTGCAGGACAAGACCAGGTCAAGGCCCGGGCACCAGCACCAGCCATCACAGGAAACATGGCCCAGCAAACGGACTGACCACAAGTCAGAAGCCCGCCTAACACCCATGGCCCATGGCCCCTCACCGGCTGCCGCAGAGAAAGAGCAAGTTCTGCACAGCAGGGACGGTGGAGCTCGTGTTCTGGCCCGTGACAAGGTGGCGGTCCAGCACGACATGCACAGCGTCAGGCTCACTGGCTGCAGGAGACCCAAGAGCACAGGCTTCAGGCAGCGACACAGGCAGTCATGCCCAGACCCACCCCACCCACACTCTTGGGGCTGTGAGCGCCAAGTGGACTGTGGTCAGCCTGCCCAGGTTTCAGAGCAGCCAGCCACCGAGGTCCACTGGGTGCTCAGCTCTAGGAGACTGTCTAGCCAATGTGGCCCCCACCCATCACCTGTAAGGCCCCCAAGCTCACCACTAAAGTTGGCGCCTGCATCCTTCACAAAGTCCTCCACAATGAGAGGCAGGTGGGCAAAGCCAGGTGCCCTGACAAGCTCATACACGGAGGGCTGTAGGGAAAGGGGGCACCACCTCGGGGTCAGGCAGGCACAAGCCCTGTGGGGCTGGGGGTGTACATCACTGCTCTATGACTTAAACCCCAGGGGAAGGCCCTTCTACTGTGGGGCTTCCAGGGGTGACCAGCCTGCAGTGGGGGGAGGGCTGTCACCCCCTCCCCCAGCATCAGGGCACATGGGTGCCCAGCACGAGCAAAGCCCTGCAGTGATGGAAAGGCCTGGAGGAGAACACAGAGCCAGCTGGCCTGTGGGGTGGGGGTCATGGCTGCCCACGCTCCTCTCCTTTCCAGTCCTCACCTGGACCTGGACCTGGGACCAGGCCAGCTGCAGCTCCCAGCCTGTGAATGCCCACCAGCCAGGCCCCTCCCTAAGTCCAGGCCCTCCACCCAGTGGAGCCCTTCCTTCCAGTCAGGCACAAAAGCAAACTGGCCCCGCACCCCGCTCTTCCCACAGCCACAGCCAGTTCAGCAAACCCAGGCTGCGAGGGTTGGGTGAGGCAGAATCTGTCCCTCACCCACAGCCTGACCAGGGCCCTCCAGAATATCAGCAGAGAGGGGAGTGAGAGAACAGCAGACAACAGACAAATGCAAGCCTGGTGCCTTCTGGACAAGTGACTCACCCCTGACAGAGGGACCGTGGACCCCCACAGGGACCCAGATGTCCCTGTGCTTCCAGGCCTGACCACTGCCTGGGACCCACCCCATGCTGCACTCACCCCGGTCAGGCTGTAGCCCTGGAACACCCAGGACCTGTCCTCGGTGGCACAGCACAGGGCGGCGACGCCATGGCCAACAGCACAGATGGGCTCTGAAAGCAGCAGGTGAAGTAGGGCCTGAGGTCCTGGGCCCAGCCTGGCCCCTCTCCCAGCACCCCCCACAGAAGAACTCCTGGAGGCCGCTGCCCCCACCTTCCCTGCCTGAAACATGGCAAGCTGCTTCACAAACAGGCTGTTTCCAGCTCAAATCTCAATTTCTGGCGCCTGAGAAACAAGTACATGAGGAGTCACGAGGGCACCGTAGGTCTACTTGCCAACCCAGGAACACTGCTCCCACTGCCCCCCTGCCCCTCTCAGAACAGCCTGTCCTGCTCCAGGCCCGGACTCGACCTCTGACAGCAAACATCTCACGGCACCACCATCACTGGATGCCACCACCGTCACAGAGCAGCAGCCCACCTGGAAATGTCCCTCCTCCCAACACAGTGGGAAGGGGGCTGAGCCCTCCTTCTGTCCCCTGGCCTCCAGGGGCAGTGCCCCCGCCCTGCTGAGCGCTTGCCTTGGCTCTGGGCCTCCCACCCAGAGGCTGCCTGGCACAAGTGCGTTCCCACGGCTGAGGTGGCCAGGAACAATCACTGCCTGTCCGGTGAGGACAGGAGGCCCCGTTCTCACCGACAAAGGACACTGTGTGGAGCCTGGGTTTTTGTCTGCTGGTCCCCAATGAGCGTCCCACCCCCACCCAGCAGACATGCGCACCACAGCCCAAGGCAGATCAGGGCAGCAGGCCAGGTCTCCACAGAGCAGCCTTTCTCCCAGCCCCTGCTGGCCACAGCCCCAAGCCTGGACGCCAAGCTTTCCCACCAGGAACAAAGCCAGCATCCTGCCCGCTCACTCCCAAGGGGGCCAGGCAGAGGGCCCGCAGGGGTGCCAAACAGAGGTGGGGGAAGAGTGCCCACCCTCATGTGAGACAGCTGAGTAAACTTGACTCTCATTTGTCAGGATCACTGGGCTCTCCACATCTAAAGCGATCTGCTGTTTCCAGCTCTAAGACCTGAACCCGGCACCCCACAGCAGCTGCCACCCACACTGAGCTTCCCCTCCCTATTTGTGAAGCCCCTCCCCACACACCCAGGCCCAGGGGTCACCTACTGCTCTCCAAGCGGAAGTGCTGCAGGATGCGGGCCAGGGACCCACTGCTGGCCAGGTCAACCAGGGCCCCGGGACAGCTGGGAATCAGGAGGGCGTGGTACCGGGCACCTGGGGGAGACCATGGGCCAGTCAGTCCCCTCTGCTCCTGCCACCAGACGCCAATCTTTTCACTTTCCCTACACCACATAAGGCTCCCAAAGCTCACACACCATTCCTGCCTCCCATATCTCCAAGTGCCCACCACCTCACCCCTGGGGGAGCTGGGGAACTCTGGGCCCAGGAGGCGGGACAGGAGGCAGCCATGGGCAGTCACAGCACTTGGCAGCAAGGCCTGGGAGCTCCAGGAGCAGAGTGAGAGAGCATAGTGAGGGCTACAAACCCTCCTAGAACCCCACATGCCCAAACCTCCAAGGTCTTGGGCCCTCACCATCAATGGACTCGAGCTTGGCGGGGTTGGCGTAGGCCTTGAGGCGGAAGTCCTGTACCCAGCGTGCATTGCTCTCGTTCACGTCCACAAAGTCTATGGTCTTCCCCTGTCAGAGCCCCAAGGCCAAAGAGGTCAGCGCAGGACATCCCCTGCTGGCTCACAGAGATGCTCAGAAACACTGATGGGGGCTGGGAACCAATGGCAGTCCCTCGGGGACAAAGGTACGCAACAGCCCAGTCCCCTCACCAGAGCTCAACACACTCCGAGCTCCATTTCAACCCCACCCGCCCTTGCTGGTCCTGTCTCCTGCTTACAAAGCAGCTAAGGACCCACCCACCTCAGGGTGACACTGGAAACGTGCAGTGATAAACACTTATCATGTCACTGCTGGACCTGAGTCCCCTGCCGTCAAGAGTTGCAAGCCCTCCTGGCAGAAGGTCTGCACCGTCCTTGCTCTCGTGTGCAGACCTTCACCCATAATGACAATGGGGTTCTGGCCCCTCAGCCTGAGCCAGATCCCTCCGGGGTCACAGCAGCCTTGGGCTCACCACTTCTCCCAGGAGCAACAGCACTCCCCGGGCCTCCCCCGAGAAAGAGAGGTGGGAGAGGGGGTGGTTGGACTTACCCCAGGGGTGGCCACCTGCAGGTTGAAGGCCGCACTGGCCAGTGTGAAGCAGTGGAGGAAGGACTGGGCTGACACACCTGCAAGAAGGACATGCAGGGTGAGCCCTGGGCAAGACAGCCCCTCCCGCCCAAGGAGGCTGCCTAGACACCTCAGGGCTTCTCCTGGTCCCAGACCCACCCTGAGGAGCAGCCCCTTCCCCACCTCACCCCACTGCCCCTCATCTCCGACGGTGGGCTCTCTCCCCAGCCTGGTCCTAGAGGCCCTTCCAGAAGGCAAATCCAAGTGTGTGGTTCCCGTACACTCAGCTCACCCGCTGACTAAACCAACAGGGACGGTTCCCCTGAGTTGGGGGGGGG